AAGTAAATGCATTTTAAACAAGGGTACACCCACTATTGTGGACTGAAGCACAAGTGGCTTAAATGTCCTCAGCCTTTTATGTATGTATGTATGCATGCATGTTGAACTTATTTTGTGCTGTACATAGCCAACCGTGCTAATCGGGGGTGCTTTTGAAGAGTAACTACCAACGTTGTTTTTACATTGTCAATCAGTGAGAATCACTGTCCACGGGACAAACAAAACTATCCAACACTTTTGCAAAGAAAGCACCTTAAAAATGCGATAAAAAAAAATTGAAGATCAAGGTGCGGGCAGCACACCACAATGTAGTAGGCGGTTCTCTTATTTTTCAGTCATTTCATTTCTTAATTACAACCAGTTTTGAACCACATATGATTAATCAATTGACTTCATGGATTGTACCCATTAGATGTGGTTTACAAGAGGTGACAACGCATATGGGTCAACGGGTTTATTTTTTTATATTCATTTAAATATAAAATACACCATTCGGGTGTATATTCATTTATTTCCTTTAAAAATCGTCAAAATCCTCCACAGCTACGGAGCAGCGGTGTTCTGCTTCTGCCCGGCTAGTGCAGTAAAGTGAAGGGTCTGCGGTAACCACGTGACGAAATTCACTTTTCCAGTTTGTGTTTTGGTGAACTCTTGCCTGCAATGGTAGTTAATGCTATGGATAATACAACAAGATTACAAAGGTAAAGGTGCAGCCATGAAATTGTTTGCTCACGCCATTGTTGGTGGAAGGGTCTCGGACATGGCAAGTTCGAGAGAGGCCCTTTGGAGGGTGTGTGGCCTACTCTTTCACGCTGGCATGACATCTCGGAAGAGATGTCGGACATTTGCACGTGACCTGCAATCAACTAACTGTGGTGGACCAATTAATACTGCCAAGTGGGCATGGGCTGGGAGATGGAAGAAACTTTCCTAACTGTTTCAGGTTCCGCGCCAGGAGATTAAATCAGACCGGCAACCTCTGAATTGTAACCTGGGTATGAGAACCATTAGGCGTTTGCAGCACCCCATGGGGAATGTATGCTAATAGTAACCGATTGGACCGATGTGAGCACCGATTAAGAAAAAAGCAATGTAACACAGGGAGATGGCCGAATATGCAGAAATATTCTTTCCGTAGCACAGAACCACTGAGAAACACAAAGCTCTCATTTGCCTGTGCCTGACAATAATTATGCATACATCAGTCTAACAAACATGCCCATTGTCAGATCCAAAGAGAGAATAAAAGGTTTTGATTGAAACCTACCCTGACAAGTCCATCACCAAGCACAATGCATGCTTTCTTTCAAATGGCAATTCTTTTGGATTCGATTTCCAGCATGTTACGTACACCTAAAGATATTCAACTGAGCGTAATACCTTGTCTTCTTATTGCCTCTGCTGAGCCAAATTCATCAGTTAATTTTTGTGATGTGTGTAGAACATTAATGTCACACAAAACGAGCTTTGTCCTCTTGATTTTTCAATTATATCGGAGCATATTAGATTGATTTAAGCATGTGTGGGTTTTTATTTATTTATTCCTTGATTTTGTACGTTTTTTTCCAGTATAAAATGGTGTAATGTAAATAAAGAAGAAATTTACACCATGTTCCTGCTGAGGTACGATTGTAATAGCAAAGCCAGATGTTGGACACGAAAATAGCACAACTTCGCAAACTGCAACATATGGCAGGATAAATTATTCATCACACAAGTAGAAGTTTGTAAGTGCAAGAAAATTATTTACAGGGTGCTAAGAAAGCAGACCTGACTTTGGTACTGTAAATAGTAGTTCACTGCCAAGCAGGGAGAGATGGTGGTTCGTAACCAAGCGCACACATGCCCAAGTGGCAATGTTACAAACAGCACTATCTCTATACTTTGGGTCTTTCGGTAAAGCCACGTAGATAGGAAAATTATACAAAAATCAAAATATCATGACGTTTCGATCGCAACACAAGCAATCGTCATCAGGTGAAAAAATATAGCGGGAGAGATGCTGAGGCAAGAAAAAAATTAACCCGTAAAAACAAAGTTTTTCACTATAAATCCTTTATATGCGTGTTCAATGGGCCACAACCCAGCCCACATTGGTCTTTGAAATGGGCGGCTAGAGTCCTCTCGTCCTCTGGCTTGAGATGGCTGCCACCTATGGGTCAGATGATTGCCTGCCACCATTAAGCAATTGGTAATTAAATATACTTTTTTTTTACCTAAAAGTGTAAAATTTAGGAAAAAAATTTTCACGAAAAGAAATTGTCACGCACAACGAGTCTGTGTGCAAAATATCAGCCCGATTGGATCACGGGAAGTGGGTTAAAAAACGACCGAAAGATTTGCACGGTCGTAAGCGCGCAAGCAAGCAAGCAAGTGAACTTAATATAAAGGATTTTAAAATATAGTGGGAGAGCTGCTGAGGCAGGATGTTATATAGGTTTGAGATGGGTGCAGCCCAAGGGTAGAGATGGAATTTGCGTGTAAATGTAAGATCGGAGAGCTGATGTACCTCCACGACTACGAAGCTGTGGAGGTGGCCATTGTATTGTGAGAGATTAGCATGTCAATGTAAGAGAACCACCGCAATGGTGGCTGTGTTAGTGAGACATTTAGCCTGTTAAAAAACCGCGAGTCACCGCCACATCGAGGGAAAGGAGCAGCGGTGTGGCTGTGTTAGTGAGAAAGACCCAAAGAATATGAATTCCTGCAGTCACGAAAGCTTTAAGTCAAGCACTATCTCTCTTCCCTCCAATCTTAAATATTCTACTTGGTTAAATCACAAATACATTCGAAATATAGAATTCAACAAGCTGATCTTTCAGGAAAAATATCCTCACCTCTCTTTATCCAATATCTCTAGAGTCCTATATGCATTGGAGATTATTCATTGGGTTTGCATATTTAAACAAAATGTTTATTAATGTGCATCGCTTCTTGGACTACGCTAGAAATAAACAGTATCCTTTACATGCCCTCAGCTGCTTTCACAGGTAAATGGTTTCCCACTCACCAATTTCTATTATCGGAGAGCCCATTAGATAACATCCAACCAAAGAAATTTACAGGATCCAGCCAACATAAGCAACCAATTTGCCGGATCCGTTTTCTTTCCCCTCCTCAATTCCAACAAACAGCCCTATCTGAGTGTCACACTCTTTGCATTAGCAGGCTTGATAAAAAGAGAAATGGCTTTTCTTCAATGCACCTGTCCCTACCTTTAAGCGCTTCCTGACATGCATTAACCCTCCTTCCTGCAATTCTCTCAACTGGGAATGAGATTAAAATTGGGTAAGGTTTGAAACAGTTTACCCCAGAACAACCATGTCTGTGGCTGAGCACACAGCTCGCTTTGTCTCTCTAGCCAAACTTTGAGACATGTTTTTTTATTATTATAAATAGTCCTGAGTGGCTAGTGCATCACAACAACCTCTCAACAAATCTGGTTCAATCCCAAACAAGGAAGTATATTTTAACAGAACCCAGGGAGTCAACTTGACCCTTGATGAACTCAAGTTTATTCAATGGGACAATTCCATCACGAATGCCCTGTTTACAAGAATATCTAGTTACTCGTTCAAGTTCATTTATTAGGTATAGCCATGTGAGCCATTCGGCTCTTGAATCGGGTGCAACCGCAACAAACAAAAAAACAAAAACATGAACAAGAAAACATCTTAAAGTGACTATGTGACTAAGTGCAAACAGAAAATCCAAGAAGAGACAGCAAATATTGCAGAAAAAACACTGTACACCAACGCCGTGTGCAAACATCCCAGTGGGATGCAGGTACAATGGATGTGCCAGTAGAAGCTTGCGATGCAAGCACTAGGTCAGTGGTTCCTATCCTGCAGCCCACAGACCACTGATGATCCACCAAGGCCATGGGAAGTGGTCTGTCGAACTGTTGTAGACACTAAAGTTGTGAAGTAGTTTTATATTTAAAATAGTTTTATATTGAAAACAATTTATTGGTGCATGGTCTGTAAAAACATGTTTTAGGGTTTAAAGTGGCCAGAAAGGTTTGGAACCACTGTACTAGGGCCACTGAACATGTTCCATCTCAAACCCATCTTGTCTCTGTCATCCACTGGGAGTTTACCTGACTGATACACATTCCAAACTTAAATGTTTGATCACTCTAATACATGACTTTGTATTTGAGTGATTGATGTCTTGAGCATCACAGACATAAATGTACCTCTCAAAAGCTTTTATTTTAGAACAGCAGTATTTTAAAAAACATATTTTAGAATTATTATATTAATTTTTCTAATAATAGGGATTAGAGATAAAATGTTACTGCTGATGAATTTAAACTAGAATGACAACATTAATAGTGTTGTAGTGATAAATTATCTCTCTGCCGTAAGGTTTCTTACGAGCATCCCGATCTTTATTTGATTTAAAAATAAAAAACGTTAATTTAGCATATTTATGTATTCCCAAATATAGGAATGCAACAAATTGTATCCTAAAAGGCAAATTTAAATCATCATTGAAGGACGACCTTAAAATATGGAAATCAGTTGTGTGCCTTTAAGCATTGAAAGTGCTGATTTGTCAACAGCAAACTGCCACATCTGAAAGTGACGAATACATTTGACACACTCGATTATCGTAACATGAGTCTATTTCTAATTGAATATCACAATCATCTTAGGTCAGTCTATATTTGTATGCCTCCAGTGAATTGGGTGAATTATCTGCCTCGTTGGCAGTGATTAGAGAGCTCAACTTCAAATACAGGTGGAGGTCAATTCTGCCCATCATTTTTCCGAGACAAATTTTTTTCATCACTTTGTGGGAAGACGAAAGCGTTCATCTTACTGATATGCCTCCAAACATGGGAATATGAAATATCAACTATTTTCTCAGTGTTGCCCAATATAGATGAGCCGGGAGCTGCTGACTTTTCACTGCGAGAATACAGAAAGGGGCTTTCTTCACCGATGGCAGGCTAAACGGTAGCGACGCACAGCGTCGGGACCCAGCTCCCTCACCATTGTTACCTTGGTGACCCACTCCGAGTGTCCGGTGAGCGTGTTGAGACAGGCGGCGGACGAGAGCGACCAGATCTTGACGGCGAAGTCGGCCGAGCCGCTCACCAAGATGTCCAGCTCATCTCGGTAATCCACGCTGAACACTGCGTACGGAACAACCGCGGCACACAAGCGCAAACACAGCGAGCGCGCTTTAGAAATTTAGATGTAGATTTAAGTTTCCTTTGTGCCTTTACTCCCAATTACATGCATTGAATAACTATGCAAAATTTAAATTATTTGTAACAATTGGAAGTTGGTGTCCAAATTATTTGTAACAATTGGGAGTGGGTGTCCATGCAAGCTGGGGTTGGGCGGCTTAGCTACATAGAAACAATCTGGGTACTTTATTATGTCAAGTGGCTAGAGCTTGGATGTTTAGAATATGCTTTATTGCCTAAAATCCATTTGTATGAGTAAGTTATTGGTCAAGAGTGCATTACCCGTTCCACCCATCACCATTGATAAAATCCATAAACATTGAGTAAGCATATTTGAAAGGTGGCAATACACACTCTGGAGCCAAGGAAATAAAGAATAAACACAGCATGTTCTGGGTTCAAGGGCAGTATGTTTCAGAGTTCTCACTTTGTCCTAATGAGCAGAAAAGTAATTTTCTGGTCCAGTATAGTACGTATTGAGGGTGATATATTTCGAAGGCCAGTTTAACATGCATCTAGGAATGTTTTGTAATGTTAACCCTTTGCGAGGACTTAAAAGACATCAATTTGAATATGGAGAAATTGACCAAAGTAATATACATGACTAGCTTAACTACCCGGCTTCGCCCGGGACTTGGATTCACCACGCCCGGCTGCCTTTGTCCCCCCAGTGGCGATGTTCACACACCGCACCAGTTACTCGTTTGAGGCTGAGTCGACCAAGGGGAGGCCTAGGACCGGTTCAAATAATTGTCACCGGTGGTGGCCGTGAGCGGGAATCGAACTCGGGTCACCGGGTTTGTAGCGCAGCGCGCTAACCACTACACTACCGCTCCCCCCACACACACGCGCGCGTGCGTCCAAAGGTACACATACACGCGCTTGCTGCAGACACACAACTTTCAGGGTGAGTATGGCAGTAAACGACTGAAATAATAAAGCAGTGCTGCGCGAAGAACGCCTTAGACCTGCAACACATTTGTATGGCACTTTCCCCTCGGAGGGTTGGGGGGGGGTGAGCAGGCACACTCCGTTACGCTTCCGCATACGGGTCACATGACAGATGTGACGTCACAGCTCACTTGCCGTGCAAAATATATGCATTATTGCGCCCCCCCCAAAAGCAATACAAAAGTCTATTTTTATAATTTTTGCATGGTGTACAGTCTGGAAAGTACCCACATGGCAAATTTCAAGTTTTTTGCATGTTGGGAAGTATGCTAAACATTTTGAACAGACACACATTCACACATTTCCCTTTTATATATATAGATTGTATCTATCCGTGAGATTTAAGACCCCAAGAACAAATACTGGTACAACCAAATGTAATAACATGTTATCAATTATTTTGCCTCACCAACTGTATTGAAGGACAATAAATGAAAGTGTTTCATCGTGATCATATTAGCACCAGCTGTAGTCAATTAACTCCTGCATGAAGGCCTCCCTGCCATAATACATCTCAGGCTCTCAGGCGTGTTACCAGTCTCAGTCCCGTCAATCGGCAATCTTCTCTTCTCGCGATGTGTCCTTTGCAAGTCTATTTTTTATGCAGTAATCATGCTAAGTTGTGTTTCTTCTTTGATCCATGTATTCTATTTCAGTCCCTCAATATAAATCCCAGCATGCATATCTCCAAGGTGATAATCCATCACCAAGGCTATTCACAATGACATAACAAGATACTTTCCAGTATGTTAAATTGTAGAAATGAGTCTTTTTTTGCATGTGTAGTGACATAAGAGGGGAGGGGCTACTGGGGGCTCTGGGACCCTAGGCAACCCAGACGCTTAAGCCCCTTGGCGCCAGGCACTGGGTTCCCAGGCAACCCAGACGCTTAAGCCCCTTGGCGCCAGGCGCTAGGTTCCCAGGTAACCCAGACGCTTAAGCCTCTTGGCACCAGGCGCTAGGTTCCCAGGTAACCCAGACGCTTAAGCCTCTTGGCGCCAGGCGCTAGGTTCCCAGGTAACCCAGACGCTTAAGCCTCTTGGCACCAGGCGCTAGGTTCCCAGGTAACCCAGACGCTTAAGCCCCTTGGCGCCAGGCGCTAGGTTCCCAGGTAACCCAGACGCTTAAGCCCCTTGGCGCCAGGCGCTAGGTTCCCAGGCAACCCAGACGCTTAAGCCCCTTGGCGCCAGGCGCTAGGTTCCCAGGCAACCCAGACGCTTAAGCCTCTTGGCGCCAGGCGCTAGGTTCCCAGGCAACCCAGACGCTTAAGCCCCTTGGCGCCAGGCGCTAGGTTCCCAGGCAACCCAGACGCTTAAGCCTCTTGGCGCCAGGCGCTAGGTTCCCAGGCAACCCAGACGCTTAAGCCTCTTGGCACCAGGCGCTAGGTTCCCAGGTAACCCAGACGCTTAAGCCTCTTGGCGCCAGGCGCTAGGTTCCCAGGCAACCCAGACGCTTAAGCCTCTTGGCACCAGGCGCTAGGTTCCCAGGCAACCCATACGCTTAAGCCTCTTGGCACCAGGCGCTAGGTTCCCAGGCAACCCAGACGCTTAAGCCTCTTGGCACCAGGCGCTAGGTTCCCAGGCAACCCAGACGCTTAAGCCCCTTGGCGCCAGGCGCTAGGTTCCCAGGCAACCCAGACGCTTAAGCCTCTTGGCGCCAGGCGCTAGGTTCCCAGGCAACCCAGACGCTTAAGCCTCTTGGCGCCAGGCGCTAGGTTCCCAGGTAACCCAGACGCTTAAGCCTCTTGGCGCCAGGCGCTAGGTTCCCAGGCAACCCAGACGCTTAAGCCCCTTGGCGCCAGGCGCTAGGTTCCCAGGCAACCCAGACGCTTAAGCCGCTTGGCGCCAGGCGCTAGGTTCCCAGGCAACCCAGACGCTTAAGCCTCTTGGCGCCAGGCGCTAGGTTCCCAGGCAACCCAGACGCTTAAGCCCCTTGGCGCCAGGCGCTAGGTTCCCAGGTAACCCAGACGCTTAAGCCTCTTGGCGCCAGGCGCTAGGTTCCCAGGCAACCCAGACGCTTAAGCCTCTTGGCGCCAGGCGCTAGGTTCCCAGGCAACCCAGACGCTTAAGCCTCTTGGCGCCAGGCGCTAGATTCCCAGGCAACCCAGACGCTTAAGCCCCTTGGCGCCAGGCGCTAGGTTCCCAGGCAACCCAGACGCTTAAGCCCCTTGGCGCCAGGCGCTAGGTTCCCAGGTAACCCAGACGCTTAAGCCCCTTGGCGCCAGGCGCTAGGTTCCCAGGCAACCCAGACGCTTAAGCCCCTTGGCGCCAGGCGCTAGGTTCCCAGGTAACCCAGACGCTTAAGCCTCTTGGCACCAGGCGCTAGATTCCCAGGCAACCCAGACGCTTAAGCCCCTTGGCGCCAGGCGCTAGGTTCCCAGGCAACCCAGACGCTTAAGCCTCTTGGCGCCAGGCGCTAGGTTCCCAGGCAACCCAGACGCTTAAGCCCCTTGGCGCCAGGCGCTAGGTTCCCAGGTAACCCAGACGCTTAAGCCTCTTGGCGCCAGGCGCTAGGTTCCCAGGCAACCCAGACGCTTAAGCCTCTTGGCACCAGGCGCTAGGTTCCCAGGCAACCCAGACGCTTAAGCCTCTTGGCGCCAGGCGCTAGGTTCCCAGGTAACCCAGACGCTTAAGCCTCTTGGCACCAGGCGCTAGGTTCCCAGGCAACCCAGACGCTTAAGCCCCTTGGCGCCAGGCGCTAGGTTCCCAGGCAACCCAGACGCTTAAGCCCCTTGGCGCCAGGCGCTAGGTTCCCAGGTAACCCAGACGCTTAAGCCTCTTGGCACCAGGCGCTAGATTCCCAGGCAACCCAGACGTTTAAGCCCCTTGGCGCCACCAGGGGGGGGGGGCTGTGTGTGCTCTGTGGGATATCAGGGGGCGCACACGGCCCCACCCCTCGTGGGGACGAGGTATAAAAGGGCAGCTCCCTGGACGATCGAGGCCAGTTGTAGCTCAAGACCCAAGACCCAAGACCAGCCATCTCAGGACCCTGGGATGCTGTGAGAGCCAGTGGTGGGACTCTGGAACTCCCGGCTCTACGTCCTTGTGAGGGCGAGTTCCAGAGCGTAGCCAGAGTAGTGGATCTAGGCTGTGTACCTAGGCTGTGTACCTAGGCTGTAACAGAGTAAAAGGACTGTTGGAGTGTTGGATTGTAATAAAGAAGTTACCTCTACAAGTGTCTCCGGAACCCATTACACATGCATAAGACAACTGCAGCACTTGCTTAAAGATATAATCACGAGCTTTTTTTGTAGACCATAGCCTGAAGGCCACATGCAGTCTCCAGAGAACTCTTATAATTCACTGACAAGCCCATGATAAAAAAAAAATCTAATGAAATGTTTGTTTATGGAATTGCTGTATGTACTAACAATGCCACAATTCGTCAGTCTACAATTAATAATTTGAAGACACAAAGTTACTTTAACCAAGTTACATCACAGCTACATATGCATACGAAAAATACTATTTCGCTCCAAAGCCACTTAAAAAAGAAAAACTGTGGCTCCTAGATTAATGGATGGGCAACCATTTTTGAAAACCTATAGGGGAAATTTGTATTAAATAATATCCACAAATCCTAAGCAATATATGCACAATGTGTCTATCGCATGTAAATGTATGCGCAGTATGAAGTGATCAATTCCTGTGCCACAGCATGTCAGGACATCCGAGTAGAGCGCACATTATCACAAAAAAACCTGTGAACATTCTAGAAATTAATGATTACACATTTTCCAAAACTCATTTAAATTATTGTAGATATTAGAGCTGTGTAAAAATATGTAAAACAAATCAGGTTGATTATGAACATTAATATTTTATACATATTATTAGCACGGTTGGCTACACAGTGCGAAAGAAGTTCAACATAGATATGTATAGTTATTTTAAAAGGTCCTACAGTGTTTATTTATACATTGTTGCTAGTCTATCAGTCTAATGGTCTACAGAAGTGTTCTTCATTGTAAGGCCCGCGGGCCACTCGCAGCC